GGGGGGGGAGCAGGTGGAGGGTAGTGGTGTTGTGTCTGGAAGAGTCATCATATTTGAAACTTTATTACGTCTATGACAATTATTGTGTTTGTGATTTTCAGTATGTTTGAAACTGTCATGGTTGTGATTTTTAATGTGTTTGTTGTTGTTGTTGTTGTGTTATCGATCTAGCAACGTCTGGGCTCTCGCCCTTCTGTCCAATGCCATGTAGTGATAAGTGCAGGTTTGCTGCAGTTGCTGTAATGTTCCATAGAGTGTGTTGTCGAAGTTAGGTCTCGGAGGGAGAAGTGTAGCTCTGATGTCATTTAGGGCTGTACAGTGGAAAAGGTGATGTTCCACTGTCTCATATGCATAGTCACACAAGGGACACATTGGGGGAAGTTCTGGTTTTATTCTGTTCTAGTGAAAGTTGAGCTGTATATGTTCTGTTCGTAGCAGGAAGATCGTGGTCTGTTTCTTTTTTAATGTGTTTAAAACAGTCATTACATGTTTGACAATTATTATGTTTGAAACTCTTTATGTTTTTGACAATTATTTTGTTTAAAACTGTCGTTTAAAACTGTCTATGTTTTTGACAATTATTTTGTTGAAAACTGTCTATGTTTTTGACAATTATTTTGTTTAAAACTCTATGTTTTTGACAATTATTTTGTTGAGAACTGTCTTTATGTTTTTGACAATTATTTTGTTGAAAACTGTCTTTATGTTTTTGACTATTATTTTGTTCAAAACTGTCTTTATATTTTTGACTATTATTTTGTTTAAGACTGTCATTATATTTTTGAGTTATTTTGTTTAAAACTGTAATTATATTTTTGGCAGTCGTGCTTGTCTGTCCCTGGCCACTTCTACCAAGCTCAGCACATCCAGGTCCTGGGTGATTGCTTCATCCCTAATCATGCTTCTGTAACTGCCAGTTGGTCTTCCTCTTCTTTTCATTCCACTTACTAAAACTAAACTAAACTATTTGTGTGGATGTTCTTGTCTGTACTCAAACAAACAAACAAACAAACAAACAAACAGACAAACAAATGTGGCAATGTTATGTGAGCACTCTAGTGTGGGTGGCTGGCGGGTGCTCCGATGTAGTTTGCTCCTTCTTTCCCATCAAACGTCTATCATCCTTATCTCTCCTCCTTCTTTCCTTCGTATGTTGCTCTCAAGTAGTAACACCTCTAATCTCCGGCACTTGTGGGACCTGATTATGTTGTAAGTGCCGTAAAACTTGTATTATATAGACTTAATCAACCACTGTTTTCCACTTCCCAGGTGCAGTGACCGGCCTGGTCCTAGGTATCCTGCTGGGTCTGTCGGCTGCCATCTGCCTCATGGTCTTTCTACTGCTTGGCCGACGGTCAGTTTACTGCTGAATTACTTCTGTAGTCATTTTTCAAAATACTGTATACGCAGCTATTACAATTTTACTGGAGAGCCGACAAACTTAGTGTTGTTACCAAGAAAACAAACTCTTCTTTTGTAAACTTCCCAAGTCAATATTTTAAAGAATACAATTTTGATACCACTTCCTTATTATTTTTAGAGCAAATTATAATTGATAATCATTAATATTATTGCTATTAGATCTATCATCATCATCATCGTCGTCATTATTACAATGAGACAATTTGCTTATTGTTTTACCCCCTCATCTGATGTGATGTTCTGGGGTTTTTTTGTTTTTTTTCCCCATATGTGATGCGACATTTTGTGTTTTGTTTTTCCCCATGTGTGATGTGACATTATGTTTTGTTTTCCTCCAAGTCTGATGGGAGATTTTGTGTTTTGTTTTTCCCCATGTATAATGTGACATTTTGTGTTTTGTTTTCCCCCATGTGTGATGTGACATTTTGTGTTTTGTTTTTCCCCATGTGTGATGTGACATTTTGTGTTTTGTTTTTCCTCATGTGTGATGTGACATTTTGTGTTTTGTTTTTCTTCATGTGTGATGTGACATTTTGTTTTGGTTTTCCCTTATTGTGATGTAATGTTTTGTTTTGTTTTTCCCTGCAGACGTAGGAAGCACAAGCGTGAAGAAGACCCGGGCATCAGTTACCACAACCCGTACTACGGGGAAGTCAAGCCGAGGCCGGCTGCACGACGGGACAGTGGGACGGACTACGAGGAGGAAGAGGAGGACGTGGGATACCTGGCCAATGACTTCTCACTGCACGGGCTACTCGATATGTACGGAGCAGGCGCGGTTGGGGGAGCTACGGAGTCCGAGGTCAATAAGAAGTTGTTGGTCGCCCCGGAGAAATCGGAGAAAGGTGTGGGGAGTACGTCCTTGAAGGAACCCCCACCGCCATCCCCTCTACACGTCCGGCCGAAGTGTGTGATGAACACCTACGACACGCCCCCCTCACTGGCCAGTCACAGGCCGGCAGCGGTTGCCGCGGCGACCAAGAAACACAAGTCTCCCCACGCCAAGTTGACGGCAGGCTGTGAGCTGCCAGACAAGAAGAAGAAGAAGAGAGGGAATGGCAGAGATGGAAAAAAGAAGGAAGAAGAGGTGGAGGAGGAGAACTATTACGACGAGGTCGGCCCGATGGCTCCCACAGCCTACGATGTCCCACCAGTGGGTGGTCGACGTGCGCATCATATGGCCACCGCTCGACTTCCTCTTCTGCCTAAGACCACCGCCACCACCACAAACAAATCCTCCTCCTCCTCCTCCTTCCCTCCTCGTGTTTCCTCCCCCTCCTTCCCTCCTTGTGCAGAGGATCTGTACTACAACGACCAGGATGAGGAGATGGAGGAGAACGTGTACGAGTCGGTGGAGAATCTACGCGAGGCCATCGGGCAACAGAGGGGGGTTTTGCAGCTACACAACGAGGCCCTGGTGGGGGCCGCGCACGGTGGCGCCACGGGGGTCGAGGGGGGCAATCTGTACGTCCCTTTTGTCCTGGACGAAGTCAAAGACCAGTGAGAGTTGAGGGGGGTACGGTGGTCAGGGGGTCTGGCAGGGATTCCTTTACACACATGCAAACAAACAAGACGCTACGCGGATCAGGAAGATATGAGATTTGTTTGTGTATGTCATTGATAGTGACCCCCCCACCCCAGAATGCAATTCTTTGAATGTCTTGATAACGACTCCGAATAATCTTACGATTTTGATTGAGCAGGTAGAACGTTTGGCCTCTGACCTCTGGTTGTAGTAGTTCACTGACCTCTGGTCGTTCACAACGGCCAAAAATGTGAGAGAACTTTGTAATTCTGAGGAAGTGAGATATCGATAAATGTATTTATAAATAAGTAGCACAGTCGAACTTGTCAGATGTGGCTACACGTTGTGGTGAGAAAAAAAATGGTTGTCTTAATATAGTGTAAAGCGCATAGAGCCTGCTGTTGAGTGGGGATTTGCGCTATACAAATGCTATGTATTATATTAGAAAGGTGAATTATTTGGACTGTCCTTATGATATTAGAAAAAACCCAGAAAACCTTGTGATGTTTATACAGGACCCTTATAATATATATATACACACACACCCACACACACACACACACACACACACACATCATAATG